TGAACACCCCCGTCCTGGAGTGCACTACCTGCCACCAAGTTCGCTGAGAACGAGGGGAGGTGGAGACCTGACAGTGTGCCCGACGGGACGGCCGGACAGGGGAGGACAGTGGAGGAGTTCGCAAGGACTGTACCCCCTGAGGGGTCAGCGAGAGAGACTGCAACGGGCCGAGCAAGCTGCTCAAGAGCCGTGCGGTCACGAAAGAAACAGCGGGAGGCACCTGAGTCCAGTGTAAAGGTGTGCAATGCCTCAGTCGACTCACTAACAGGGGATGCAGACGCACCAGCACCTAGAGCAGCAGCCTCACCAGCACCTAGGGTAGCAGACACTCTAGCACCTAGAGCGCTATCCTCACCGGGTCGAATGCCCGGATCGGGCGGAACACTCAGGTACTGGGCACCCTCTCCACTAATAGAGATCACATACATGGCAGAGAGAATAGCATCAAAGTCTAGAGCAAAGATATGAATGTGTTGCTTCATCAGATCGGCCCAGCGCGGCAGCTCAGTGGCATCAGGGAACTGAGTACGCCAAGCGTCGTCAAGGCGTCAGAAGCAGCGCTGCGTGGGGTGCGCCCTCCCACACGGCTGACCAGTGCGGTCACCAGTGCGGATGACGTACGTGCAGCTAAGGCCACCACCCCCCCCCCCCGTGCCGAGTGTACCACTCACGGAGCTCCTGGGGCGACGGAGAGTGCTGTGGGCTCTGGCCACCGCCAATGCCTCCACGACCACCACTGCCGCCACCACCGCCTCGACCACCTCCTCCCCTGCCGCCGCCGCGTCCACCGCCGCCCCCACCACCGCCCCCGCCTCTGCCACCGCCCCCGCCGTTGCCGCCACCACCCCCACCGCTGCCACTGGCCCCACCAGTCCCACCACCACCCCCACCGCCGCCACCACCCCCACCACCGCCTCCCCCGCCGTCACCTCCGCCTCCCTTGCCCCCTTTGCCCTTGCCGCTGCGGCGCCAGCTAGAAGCAGACGCAGTTCCGACCTTCTCAGCACCAAGAAGGTCGGCAGCAGAAGCAGAGGCTACAGAGGGAAGAAGGGGGGAAGGGGAACACCCCTCAAAGAAAGGGGTGCGGGGGTCTCCACGAGAGGCACCTAGAGCGACTATGCTAGCCTCGGCTGCAAGCAGATCCTTCTCGAGGAGGGCAATGGTGAGCTCAGTGGGGCAGCGAGCTAGGAAGTGATCCCTGACAGCACGCAGAGTGTTAGGGAGGCGGGTGACTAGGTGGTAGAGAGTGAGCCAGGGCGGGGGAGGGTTCTTGGTAAGAAACTCATCGGGCATGGCGGCACGGAAGCGGGCCTCACTAGTACGGAGGTGCGTGATGAGGTCAGCGACTGTGTGGAACGATGCCAGTTTGGGAAACAGGTAGGGGAGTGAGAGACGGCCTAGCGCGGCAGAGGCAGGTGAGGAGTAGCGGGCATCGACAGCGGTGTACAGTGTCTGTGCAGTCTTGTGCTGGCCAAAGTGCTCGCGCTCGTCTATCGGCAGGGAGTTGCGAATAGCGAAGCGAGCGTGGGTATCACGAGTCTGCCACTGTGAGCGGGCAGTGCTGTCAGTAGTAGCAGCAGGAGCAGTAGCATGGCCTAGGGCGTGATCGTACAGTGAGATGTCCTCCTTGGCAGTGAGCTGTAGCAAGAGGTGTAGGTCATCTAGCCAGGTATCGAACTTCACTGGGCGGCCCTCAGCATCGAAAGCTAGCACAGGAGGGCTAGCCATAGCAGTAGTAGTAGCAGTAGTAGCACCCTAAAAACAGTAGGCAGCGAGTCAGGTAGGGCGGCTCGGTCCAGGACGAGCGGCGCGGCTCGGTTCATGTAGGGCGGCTCGGCTCGGATACAGATGGCGCAGCTCGGTTCGGGCTAGGCGGCTCGGCTTGGGCGACTCGGTTCAGGTCGGGCGGCTCGGTTCGGGCTGGGCTGCTCGTTCTGGCAGGGCCGTGGGTGTCGCGACGGGGTGCTAAGGGGCGGGCGCACGGGTCGACGGGGCCAGCTGGGGGCCGCTAAGGGGCGGCGCTTAGGGTCGACGGGGCCAGTGGGGCCGCTAAGGGGCGGGCGCTTGGGGTCGACCGGGCCAGCGGGGCGGCTAAGGGGCGGGCTCACGGGGTCGACGGGGCCAGCGGGGCCGCTAAGGGGCAGGCGCACGTGGTCGACGGGGCCAGCTGGGGCCGCTAAGGGGCGGGCTCACGGGGTCGACGGGGCCAGTGGGGCCGCTAAAAGGCGGGCGCACGGGTGTACGGGGCCAACAGGGGCCGCTAAGGGGCGGGCGTACGGGTCGACGGGGCCAGCAGGGCCGCTATGGGGCAGCACGTGAGGTCGACGGGGCCCGCTAAGGGGCGGCGCGTAAGGTCGACGGGGCCGCTAAGGGGCGGCGCGTGAGGTCGACGGGGCCAGCTAAGGGGCGGCAGGTGTTGCTGACGGGGCCTCTAAGCGAGGTCGACGGGGCCGACGGGGCCTCTAAGGGGCGGCGCACGAGGGCGCACTAGGAGGAAGGCGCACGAGGGCGCTAGAAAGGACGGCGCACGAGGGCGCTCCGAGTGGAAACGGTGGGCCCTTAGGAACGGTCCTAGGTTCCTAGCCTAGGCTCGTTATACCATGTCAGAATGAGAGAAAGTGATTGCACTATGAGAGTTGGAGTACAAATAGCAAACCCTAACTTTGTGTATCCCCTAAAGGCTAACCCACTATAGCCTACACAATAACAACACATATAATGTTTGACAGAATAGTGCGCCTCGACATCGGAAGAACAGTTCGACCCCATGATGCCTCACGTAGCGCCTGGGTCAAATTGGGCCTCGTAGCGTCAAATGCGGCGCTGACCACTAAGGAACTTGGGCGCCCCAAGTTTGCTGACTCAGGTCATTATGCCTCGAAATTATGAAACACGCAAGTCCGCTGGTGGGGTTGCTAGCACGAACTGTGTGAGAAACCAAATAATAAAGGGCGGAACAGCTCTAGGCTGTTAGAGTTTCTGAAGGCTGAAGCTTGGAGAGTCTAAAATGACAAGGTAAACTCAGTAGCATAAATTCTGTAAATTTCAGAAAGCAAGAGTGGCATACAAGGGACGAACTACTCTTATACACACTTCTATGACTGGCGCCTGAGAAGGTCGTTCAGGTCGCCATTAATCCTATCTTTGCTGTCACCAGCGAGGAACGGCTATGTACAAGCAATGATAACAATCCTATGCTGGATCCTAGCTGTTTATATAGAAATATGCAAAGTACAATCATGACATGGATCTAAAAAGGTATTATCTTATTTGGTCTTAGACTTCATGATGATGGCACTTAGATCTTGTGGTGCTGGAAGGTAGTTACAGCTGTATGGCGTGACTTGTTGCTCTGCTGTCGTGAAGATGCCCTTGTGCTTTCTTCTCCGCTGCTTTGCTGGTTGGGAATTCACGTGTGCTTTGAGAAATCCCGAAGCGCACATTTCAGGTTGAGATTTCCAACCTCGAATTTGACATTTCAGGTTGGAGTTTTGGCGAAGGTTACAAGTTCGCTAGTGAACGAACTTTCCTGTGGCGAGTTCGCCTTCGCCCTGTAACAAATGGGGAAGGTTGCGAGTGTTTTAGCGGTGGGGAGGTTTTTTTGTGGAGATCAATGTAAGCTGGAAGGTGCTTCAGTGCGTGATCACCATTGGCTGCGCGAGATGCGCCCGAGCAATAATTGCGCACCGCATTCCGCACATTGCGAATTGCGTTTGCAAAACATGCACACTTCAGCTGTGATGATTTCCACGACATATGTATGTAGATAGTCAGTAAAAATTAGCTCCAAAATATGCTCTGATTCTATTTATATACAGAGTGAAAAAAGATGTTCACAACCTTAATCATTAGAGGAAGAGATATGGCATGTTATGTCCTACACTTGGGTGTACCTGTGAGCAATTGGTAAGTTATGATTTTGCATATACTTTGGCGTGAGTTTAACCACCGCCTTTTTCAAAGTGCTTCTATTGCCTCGGCATTCTACATTCACTGACTAGTATCGTGTGCCTGTCGTTTTCACGGCTACATTCTCTGGAACAAACATCTGAATTCGGGCCTGTTAGCGCCGTTGGATTGCAAAACAAGACCTTCCAGAGAGGGCCAAATGCGGATCAACGGTACTTGTGTTCTTCCCGTTTCGCTGCTCCCAGAAGTTGCCTCTGCCTAGAATTTGGGAGTGGTAGAACTCCATCAAATCTTAGGAATCGATTCTGAGGCGTCCCGAGAGGAGGGCTGGGGGTTGAAACAAGTTGGTGCCGGTCAATTTGGGCTTGGGACAAGCGGAGAGGTGGGTGGTGGAAAGGGAAAAGGAAGCGAGCAGGAGGGGTGCATGGTGGGTGAAGGCGGAAGGAGCAGGGGCTCGGGGTGGGTGCGAATTGCAGGATTGGAAAAACAGCCTGGATTTGACTGAGGGTGCATTCCTGGCTCGTGGCAGGGCCACTGTAGATGGCAGCCTGCCACGAACACATAAAACGCCAGGTTGGTGTCAGGAATTTTGGCGCGCAAATACAGGTGCGTGATTGGGCAATGTCCCAAAAATGTCATGTCAATTCCACCAAAATCGTGTCGCGCGCGACTTGGGCAAAATGTTGGTGGCATGCGGTTTTCCCGCATGCCACCAACAGTGCCTGCTACAGTGGCCCTGCCACGAACCAGGAATGCACCCTGAGGGGAGAGTGGCATTCACACACACAGCATGCGCGGTGCTAGTATTAGATAGTGTGAGACTGCAACTCAAATATATTTCTGTTTACACCAAATTCCAGATAGTGAATCAATTGAAAAGGTAGTGTATGCATGTTCTATCGTTTCCTGCTGTTTTTACAAATTCCTAGTGCAGGGAGAATTTATATTCAGCCAAATCTGGTTTGGAAAAATGTTCAAAGTTAAAGAGAAGACAAAAAAAAACTAACATAACCCATGCATCACACAATGATAAACAGCCCACCAAAACGCAAGCAGACAAGAAACAGGATTCCAAGAGAAAACCAAGCCAACTAGAAGGCAAAGGCTGACCCTGCATGGAATAGCTTGTTTATTGACCCTTCTCGCCCCTCCCAACTCCAACCTCTCATGCCGGCCCCCTCCTTCAACGCACACATCACTGATGCTCCCTCACTCTGCACCAGCACATCGTAGCTCATGCACACGCTGAGACACACGCAGACACACAAACACATGCACGCACACACACATACATGGGGGCACAAACACATGCACACTGCGCCACAAGAAGGGCACCACAAACCCCACACACCCAAAGGTTCAGAAATGAAGGGCTCTTCTCAACCCTCGCTACACAGGGGAGGGTCATCCCCTTGCCGCTTCGCCGCTGCTCCCTGCATGCCCGGGCCCTGCCGACCCCCCTTCCCCCCATCCCCCCCTCCACGCGAGAGAGCTCCGCCTACTTCAATAAAAGAGGCTCCTTGAACCGAGAGAAACCCCTCCAAACGGCGGGCTTGAAGGCTCCGCCCGGTTTGCCAGCAGCGGGAGCAGTGGGCAGCTTGGGGGCTGCGCCCGAGTTGCCCTTCCCCGGCTTATTCCCACCTCCCGACGTGCCAGCAGCGGGAGCACCAGGCAGCTTTGGGGCTCCGCCCGAGTTGCCTTTTGCTCCCTGCGGCTTCATCCCAGGGGCCGGCTTGCCAGCAGCGGGGGCAGCGGGAGTCTTGGGAATGGTGCCCAGGTTACCCTTCACCGGCTTTGTCCCAGGGGCAGGCTTGCCAGCAGCGGGGGCAGCGGGAGTCTTGGGGTCTGCGCCCAGGTTGACCTTAGCTCCGCCCCGGTTGGGTGTAGTGGCGCTTCCCCTGGAGTGCTTCCTCCCGCCGTGGTGCTTCCTCCCCCGCTTGGGCGCGAACCTGCCAGTGTGGAACGTTCGATCGAACGAATTGCGCACGTTCCTCCCCGCCTGCCCGAGGGAATCCTTCACGGCGCCGCTCAGGTCATCCGACGACCGCTTCAAGTCCGCCGCGAAATCCTCCACCGTGCGGAGCACACGCGGGTCCTCGAATTCAACCGAGTCAAAGGGGTCAACGGTTTCAAGTGAGGCATCGGTGTCGGCCTCGAGAAGAGCGCGCGGCTGGGGGGCTGCGCCCGAGTTGCTGTCGGCGCCCGAGCTGCTGACACCTCCCGCCCCCTTCTTTAGTGTCGACTCAAAGGTGCTGACGGGTGCCGCTCCCTTCTTCCCAACCGCCGGCACGTCACTCTCAGCGCCCTTCGGCTTCGCGGATGCCCTGTCAGCAGTTTTCAGGTCGCCGGTTGTCTTCTTGGTCGTTCTGGTATGACGATGCTTCGTCGCTGCCCACTTGACGCACCTGCCTCTCCTACGCCGCACGCAGTGCTTCCTCTTCCCCTGCTTCCCCTTCTTGTGCCGCGCGGCGATGGACTTGCCATTGGGTGAAGCCGCGGAGTCGGCGGACTGGCCCGCGCGCACGGTCGTCCCCGCCTGCCCGGCGAGCGGCGATTTCTTCGCGCTCAGGCTGCCGCTGGCGCCGTCTGACGACTGAGTCAAGTCCGCCGCCACATCCGCCAGGATTCGCGGATCCTCCGAGTTGTCGGATTCAACCCAGTCAACGGAGTCAACTGCAGCCTCGTTGTCGGCCTCGAAGAGCGCGCGCGCGTCGTATGCTTCCTCGAGACCGGAAATCTCGCTCGCGTCGTAGTACCCATCAGGAGGGAGCGCCGCAAAAACCGCGAGTAAGTTCAGAGACGCCACGACGAGCGCGAGCAGAAACCGAGGCTGGGCCGTACCCATGATGTTGGCTGTTGCTATCAGTTTAGCTGGGAAGGAAGCTCTGAGAGTGGCTGTACTGAATAGGTTTTAATGCTGTAACTGGTAGAAGAAGCTCTGGTGAATGAGTAGTTTCCAACTCCCTCCGTGTTAAATATGCGGCTAAGCGTGAGTGACGGATTGCAGGCTCTGCTGTAATGTTGCGGCTCGACAGCAGATGAGGCGGTTCCGCCCCGTGATGCTTCTCGTAGCGCCTGGGTCGATTTGGGCCTCATAGCGTCGAATGCGGCGGTGATTACTGGGGAACTTAGGCCACCCAAGTCTGCTAGCGCTCTGATCATGGTGACAGCACCTCGAAATTATGAAACAGAGAATCTGCTGGTTGCGTTCCTCGCGTGGTTGGGTTGTGAGGGAGAAGAGGTTCCAAAAAAAACCGGGTAACGAAAGTATTTTTAGCGGCCAGGAGAGGTGGAGAGGTCTTCTTTGGGGGTCGATGTAAGCTGGCGGGTGCGCGATTACCATGCACAAGGTACACGGGATGTGTGGTGGAGCAATAATTGCGCACCGCGCCGCACATTGGCGATTCGTTGCAAAAATTGCACACTCCAGTCGAACCGTTTTGGAGATATATATGTCGATATAGTTAAAAAAACATTTGACTTCAAATTATGTTTTGGTCCTATAATGATAACAAAAATGAACTCAACGGAAGCATATATGATAATTTGTATCCTCAAAATGGGCAGATTATTTCTTCACCCTTGAACATATTTTGTAATCTCTTAAGGTACTTCGAGATGAGTACAACCATTTTTTTGACTCGTTATCGAAATGCTTATATCGCCTCAGCATTCGCCATTCCCTGACGAGTGTCGTGCCTGTCATTTCGGCAGCGACTTTCTCTGGAACAACCATCTGAAGTCGGGGCTGTTAGCGCCGTTGGATCGCAAGACAGATTTCCAGACAGGGCTGAATGAACGGCTCAACAGTGTTTTTGTTCAACCCGTTTCGCTGGTTCCCGCTCCCAGAAAGTTGTCTCGACCTTGGAGATGGGGGTGGCAGAGCTCAATTCCTCCATAACCTCGCACAAACTTTCTTACATTCCTCTAAACCGCTCTGAGCCAGATAGAATCTACCCTAAACAACCCACTCGACTTGGTGGTTGGTTCCCTGTGCTCTCTGCTCCACTCCTCACCATTTCAGGCTGACAGTGATCGCCCTGCTTTCCAGCCACTTTCAGGAATTCCCTGTGCTCGTGGTTCAAACCTGCCTCTCCGAATCTCGCACAAGTTTATTGTGGTAGTAGTTTCACGGGACGGGATTAGCAGCTCCTCGGGATTTGCTACTTCAGAGCCTGCCCTTGGTTTTTTTTTGCTTGTTTTTTCCCTCCGATACTAGTACTGGCTACGGCGAGTGGTGTGTGTATCCGGAAAAGAGGTCGTCGGTCGTTTTCCGTAGCCTCGCTCTCGCTATCTCACACCTTACTCGCTTCCGTGCCGTTTATTCTCGTCATGTCGTAATCTTTAGGATCCACGTCTTGTTGTAACCCTAAGAATCTACGGCGTGTAACCATTGCTACATCTTTCCTTTGCTTTAAGAAACAGGATAACATACTCTAGCAAACCAGTCTAAAAGTCCCGTTCAGAATACGCCTTTTGTGTTAGCTTGAGATGCAGCTCAGTGAAACCGCTGACTAGTTTTGTCCTTGTGTCCTCCTGTTCAACTGTTCTGTACATGCCTCCGTCGGAAGGTCGAGTTAATCACAGCCGTCGATCTTGAACGCGCTGCCGATTTCGCGGCTGACGCGCGGCCCTGGCGACGGCGGTAACCCGCAGGATGAGCGCCAACGACTACCGACCGCTTTTGCGCAACGGCGCGGGGGGGAACAACGGCGACTCCCCATTGGCTGGCGGTGACGTGGAACTGGCTGCGGATAAGATCGAATCTGCAGTGATGGTGTCTCCCGCGTCGCCCACCGCGCTGATTTCGCCGCGTAGCATGAATTTCAGCGAGAGGGTTCCGCCTGAATGGGCCGTGCTGCTGCTTGGATGTGCGCTCGGCCTCGCCACAGGAGCCAGCGTCGTCCTTTTCAACTTGGCGGTAGGTTTTCCTTTTGAGTCCCCTCAGAAGTCATCTTGTTACAATATTCGACAACGCGCCTTTTCGTAGGCTCTGCTGTACATAACTACTTAAATTCTGTCAAACTCCGTCCTTCCTCTGTAATGTTTGATTGTCATTCGCCTTTCAACCCTCTCACTCCTCCCCCAGGCTCACAGAGTCCACAACCACGCGCGGGTTTGCACTCCAGCAGGGGGAGCGGGTTGGCTTTCCATTGACTCAATAGTCACGTTTTATTTCCTCTCAACCCGTCTCCTTGCTCAACCTGTCCAGGTTCACGGAATTCACAACCTAGCATGGGCCGGCACACCAGCAGAGGGAGCAGCGTGGCTGCGTGTGCAGCCCATCACCACCACTTGGCACCGCATCATGCTCATCCCCGTTATGGGCGGGGTCGTTGTAGGCATGCTGCACGCCCTCGGCGGCATCATAGAACAAAGCCAAAGCCCATCCCAAGCCCAGGGCCAGAGCCGCGGGGCAACTCTACGTCTGGAGCAGCAAAGGGGAATTGACTGGGGGGCGGCTTTTACACCCGTAATTCGAGCCATCCAAGCAGCAGTAACCCTAGGCACAGGCTCCTCCCTGGGACCTGAAGGGCCAAGTGTGGACATAGGCAAGGCCTGGGCAGATGGAATGGCAGAGATTTTGATGAACACTCACGAGAGGAAAACAGCACTGGTGGCTGCTGGTGCAGCTGCAGGAATTTCGTCGGGTTTCAATGCGGCTGTAGCTGGGTGTTTTTTTGCCATTGAAACGGTGCTACAGTCGGTTGCTTCGGAGAATGCGCCCCCGCTTACCACTGCCATGATCATCCTCGCTTCAGTGCTCTCCTCTACAGTGTCTAACGTCGTTCTGGGTGAAGAGCCTGCGTTTACTGTACCTGAGTACGAGCTGAAATCTGCTGCTGAGTTGCCACTGTACCTGCTCCTGGGGATGGTTTGTGGGGTTATTTCGGTGATATTTACCCGATTAATCAAGTGGTCCACAGCCTTTTTCGACTTTCTGCGGGACCGGCTCGGGATCCCGCCAGCTGTCACGCCGGCATTGGGCGGCCTGTGTGTGGGGTTCATAGCGCTACAGTACCCTGGCGTCTTGTACTGGGGTTTTAGTAACGTGAACGAGATTTTGCATTCGAGAGAGAGTGCTTCTGCCCCTGGTCCGAAGCTCATGACTCAGCTGATAGCAGCCAAGATCGTTGCCACGGCTCTCTGCAGAGGCTCGGGCTTGGTAGGGGGAATCTACGCCCCGAGCCTGTTCATAGGTTCGGCGGTAGGCTCGGTGTATGGGTCGCTGGCGGGTGCGGCTATCCAGGCTGCCATTCCTGGGAAGGCGGAGGTCGCGGCTCCACAGGCATATGCTCTGGTGAGTTGTTGATGGTGAGTAAAGGGTAGAGTGTGATGCGGTATGGGTGAGGAAGGAGGGGTTGAGGTTGCTGCTCCACAGGCGTATGCTTGAGCTGTTTAGGGTGAGAGGTAGTGATGTGGTATGTTATGTGTGAGATGGGGGGATAGCATGAGATAATCTGTTGACTTGGCTGTTAAAGCTGTGGTGGAGATTGCTGCTCCACAAGCGTGTTTTCAGGTAAGTAGAGGTCAGAGGGCGTAGCTGTATTTAATACCTGATTGCATGGAATATTAGAACCTGCTTGTATGGATGGATGGATTGCTGAAACCAGTGTGTATGGGGTATTGGATGATTCGAGTTTTACGAGGCATTTACCCCTGTTGCCCCCTTCTTTCCCGCTTCACCTTTCTCATTTGCTCAGCTTACCTACGACCAATTCCTTGTAACACCCCCCCTCTACCAGGTGGGCATGGCAGCAATGCTCGCCTCTGTGTGCTCTGTGCCTCTCACATCCGTCTTGCTCCTCTTCGAGCTCACTAAGGACTACCGCATCCTGCTGCCGCTCATGGTACGCGTCCTTTTTCCTTCCTTTCATGCTGACTCCGGATGACAGCTCACCAAGGACTACCGTATCCTGCTTCCTCGCATGGTACGAGTGTTGCTCCATTCCATGCAGTCTCGGTAGTCACAGCACCTCAGCCCTCACTCTCTACCCAAGCTCCCCCCTGGTGCTTCTGCCCTGCTCTCCATTACCCTGTCTCCTCAAACCTTCTCTTCCCGGCCTTCTTCCCTTCTCCTTCCCCCTCCTTACCTCCCTCCCTCCCTCTACCGTGCACAGGGCGCAGTGGGTCGGCCTACTGGGTGTCCTCAGTGGCCAATTGCAAGAAGCCCGTTCTCTCGCACGCCAAGCTCGCCCCCGGCTCTGCCGTTGCCTTTGCTGCTGCAGGCGGGCACGTGCTACTCAGCCCTCACGCTCTACTCACCCCTCGGCACTGCCATGAAGGCCATGCCTCTCACCTCTTTCTTCCTGTCTCCCTATCTTCCCCCTACCCATTTCTCTCCCCGCTCACAGGGTGCAGTGGGTCTGGCCTACTGGGTCTCCTCAGTGGCCAACCGCAAGAAGCCCGTTCTCTCACACACCAAGCTCGCCCCCGGCTCTGCCGCAGCCTTTGCTGCAGCCGGCGGGCACGGCGACTCAGCCCTCACGCTCTACTCACCCCTGGGCACTGTCATGAACGGCCATGCCTCTCACCAGCAGAATCTATCCCTTCTGCATGAGCACCACCACTCGACTCATTTCGGGGGGCCGCCGCTGTCCCCGACGCAGCTTCGGGCGTCTTCGTCTATTTCGTGGCATAGGGGGAGTGGCAGCAGCAGTACTGGTGGTGGGAGTGGTGCGGAGGAAATGGAGTTGTGTGCGGTGGAGGGGTTTGCAGGGGGTGTGGAGGCGGCTTTGAGTGTGGATAGACTGCTGGACGAACTAAAGGTGAGCGCAAGGGGTGCATGCTGGAGGGTGGGATGAGGAGTTAAGTGCGGTTGAGGGGTATGTTGAAGGTTTGAGGTGGCTTTGAGTGTGGATAGGTGGCTGGACGAACTCAAGGTGAGCACATGGGGTGCATTGGGAAATACGGGAGTTGAGTGCGGTTGGCAGGTATGCTGTAGGGGTGTAGTTGTGTCCGTGCAGGCAGACAAACCTCCATCACTTGATCCCTTACTCCCCTGCTCCCCTCATCTGCCCACCTCTCCCGCAGGTGGCTGCAGCAATGAGCACCACCTTCGTGTCAGTACGAGCAGACGCCACTGTGAGAGAAGCCGTGCTCGCTCTCTTGGAGGGCTGCGCAGACTGTGCCATGGTGGTGGATGCAGAGGGGCTGCTGGAAGGCACTCACTCTGTCTTCCCTTTTGCCCTGACCCCTACCCGTTCCCCTACCCACCCCCCTCCCCTTCCCCAGGTGGCTGCTGCAATGAGCACCACCTTCGTCTCGGTTCAAGCGGCTGCTGCAATGAGCACCACCTTCTTCCTCCTCCACCACCTTCCCCACCCCCAGGTGGCTGCAGCAATGAGCACCACCTTTGTGTCGGTTCGAGCAGACGCCACTGTGAGAGAAGCCGTGCTGGCTCTCCTAGAAGGCCGTTCAGACTGTGCCATGGTGGTGGACGCAGAGGGGCTGCTGGAAGGCACGCTCTCTCTCACTGATGTGCACCGGGACGGAGCTTCACAGATCCTCCTCTCATTGGGAGAGAAGCCGTCTTTTCACACGCATTCGTTCACCTCCCTTCTTCCTCCTCCACCACCTTCCCCACCCCCAGGTGGCTGCAGCAATGAGCACCACCTTCGTATCAGTACGAGCCGATGCAACAGTAAGAGAAGCCGTGCTGGCTCTCCTAGAAGGCCGTTCAGACTGTGCCATGGTGGTGGATGCAGAGGGGCTGCTGGAAGGCCCTCTTTCTTCCTGCCTCTCTTGTGGGCTAACACCCTTCGTTTTCCTTCCTCCCTTCCCTGCCCTCCCTTCCCCCACCCTCCCAGGTGGCTGCAGCAATGAGCACCACATTTGTGTCAGTACGAGCAGACGCCACAGTGAGGGAAGCCGTGCTGGCTCTCCTAGAAGGCCGCTCAGACTGTGCCATGGTGGTGGATGCAGAGGGGCTGCTGGAAGGCAGATTGGGCTAGCACCCATTCGTTCCCTGCCTCCCTCCCCTCCTCTTCCCTTTCCCTCCCTCCCGCCCTCCATCCCTGCACCCCCCTCCCCACCCTCACAGGTGGCTGCAGCAATGAGCACCACATTTGTGTCGGTTCGAGCAGACGCCACTGTGAGAGAAGCTGTGCTGGCTCTCCTAGAAGGCCGTTCAGACTGTGCCATGGTGGTGGACGCAGAGGGGCTGCTGGAAGGCACACTCTCTCTCACTGATGTACACCGGGAGCTTCGCCGATCCTCCATTATCAGTGCGGCCGGCACGGCCAGCCACCGAGGCTCGGCGATCGCCGGACCTGGAGGCTCGGCACGAAGCTCGGTTGCGGGTGGAGTGGGTGGTGGTTCGGGAGGAGGGGGAGGGGGAGGAGGGGGGAGTCATAGAGGATCGGCGGTGTCGGTAGGGCTTATGCCAGTGGGAGGAGTGGGAGGAATGGGAGGGGTGGGAGGGTTGGACAGGGCATTGTCACACAGAGCTTCGGTCGCTGCCTCTGAACTGGCTCCTGTAGGCGTGGAGGTGAGCTGCCCTCACTTGTTGCTTCTGCCCTCACTTGTTGCTTCTGCCCTCACTTGTTGCTTCTGCCCTCACTTGTTGCTTCTGCCCTCACTTGTTGCTTCTGCCCTCCCTTGTTGCTTCTGCCCTCGCTTGTTGCATTTGTGCTCCGTTTTTGCTTCTGTGTGTGCACGATTATTGTGTACATGTGCTGTGTTACTTTGTTTTTTGTGGGCAGTTTATCTTTTGTGTTTCCCTGCCCCCCGTTTCCTCGCTTTCACCCCTTTCACCACCCTTTCACCCCCGTTTCATCCGTCCCTCCTTCCCTTTTCCCCCTCTTTCACCCCCAGGTGCATGAGATGCTGGTGGGAGCGGTGTGCACGGGCACCACAGCCCACGGAGGCATTGGCTGTTATGCCTGTCCTGCCTACCCTCTACACACTCTTTTGCCCCTTCTTCAACCCTCGTTCACCCTGATTATCACCCCCAGGTGCACGAGATGCTGGTGGGAGCGGTCTGCACCAGTACCACAGCCCACGGGGACCCCGACCTTGTTGTGTGCTTCCCAGACCAGACGCTGCGCGCCGCCCGCCACCTAATGCTGCCGAGGAACCTGACGGTGCTGCCTGTGGTGTCTCGGTCCGGCAAGCGGTGGCAGGACCGGGGGAGGAAGCTGGTTGGAGTCCTGGAAGCTTCAGCAATCCGTGCCACATGCCAGTGAGTTAGTTGCTGATAGTTCTTCCATGTGTCCTAGCACAGTGGTGTCTCGGTCTGGCAAGCGGTGGCAGGACCGGGGGAGGAAGCTCGTTGGCATGCTGGAGGCATCGGCTATCCGCGCCACATGCCAGTGAGTTGGAGTAATGCTTGCTCTATGGATGTTGCACGTGATAGCATGGACTAGTTGTCGAGAGTATGTTGTTGTGGTGTCACAGTCTGGCAAGCAGTGGGAAGACCACGGGAAGCTGGTGGGCGTGCTGGAGGCATCGGCTATCCGCGCCACGTGCCAGTGAGTTGGATAATTGCTTGCGCTGTGGAAGAAACTGGTACATTTGAGGTGGTTTGCCTCAACCGCACGAAAGTACCATGCGTGAGGCAAGTCCGGCAAACGGTGTTAGGTCCGGGGGAGGAAGCTGGTGACACATGCCAGTGAGTGGAGAGTTCTGGTTGTTGGGTGTAAGTGGCTTACCCTGCATGTTGGTATCTACCTACGTGGCATGTGGATGTGCTACATCCATGTGTGGGTATGGTATCACTATATTTTGCGGATGTATAATGTGCGTGGGGCTACATTATTATGTCTCATCCCCTCTTCTATGGATGTTCCTTGTGTGCTTTAGAAGTCTGGTAAGGAATGCTAGCTCTGCAGGGAAGCTGAGGGCTTTCTGAAAGCACATGAATTGTTACTGCTCTGTGTCGGTGAGGTGTCGAGATGTGGGTATTACCACGATATGTATGGTTACACGCTTCATAAGTGACTGACTGTGGAACGAGTGTCTCTACCAACAAGTGCATGTGGTTTGTCACGGCCTAACATTTTGAACCCTCGTTTCTGTGCATTTCAGAGCGGAGGCAACCCGTCGGATATTGGGAGTACTGGAGGAACCACAAGAAGCATCACATGGTGCTGGTGGTCATTGAAGGTTTTTTTTGAAGAGTCCAGAAGAGGTTTTATTGATTCGAGTTACACTTTAACGCCTTTGGTTTTCAGTCCAGAGAGTCCTTATCCCACCATGTATATTGCAAGTGATACTAATTGATCTCGTTGCCTCAGACGTATTGTTTCGAGGGTAGTTAGCAAACCAGGGATTACAGTAGCGGGTACTACAGCCAGAGAGACTCAAACGGTAACTGCGGTCTGTGCAACACGTGTCCGATTTGGCAACGACGAAATGCGGTGCAACATTTGCGGAATTGAGAGATGCGCCTCGGTGACATCAATATTAGTTCAACTGCATGCGGCTCGCCCGACTAGTTCAATTTCAGGCCAAATCTGTGTTGAGCTGGCAACGAGTGTGCTTTGATTTGACGATAAGTGTACGTCAGAAACCTGGCTTGGTTGCTTGCTACGGTAGTAATGGAAGTGTGTCGAGTTTATCCGACTTTCACCTCGTAAAACTCGGCATGCACGCACGAACGCACCGTGCAATCTCACCAACTGGGTTTCTGTGTTTTCGCGGCTGCTGTTCACGCAGCTAATCAACTCAGAACTCGGCATGGGCGCGCACGAATGCACCTTGACGCGATGGCTGACAACGCTGAGTACCGCTCGTCGATTCGGAACCGCACGATCGGGTCATACCCTACACCCCAACACGATCGTCGCACATTTTACTGCTGGGTGGCAGCGGCACCTTTGCGCGCTCACTTTTCATCCCAGGCGGAATGCCCTCGCCAGCGACTCACGGGCTATCATTCTCTCGCGGCTGCATCTCACTCACCACACAGGCGCGGTGCGCTCAGTTTATGGCAGCAGCTGCCACAACGCGGGACAGCGTTCTCTCTCTCATTGCTGAAAAGGATCAGTGGGGGCGCCTTGAAGCTGTTTCTCTTGGCCATAGCGCACGGCACGAAGCCGCCTTACGTACGGGCTTAGCGTGCTCATCTCAAGGATTTCACTCGGAAGGTTGGCTGGCTGGTTAATTGACCGGCTATCGCCCCTTAGTAGCAAGTTGAAAGTCACTGATCCTCAACAGTAAGCAGTTAGTAGCACTGATGCAATTGGTTTAGTACGGTGTGGATGGATTCTGAGTCGGTTGCAGCGCAAAAGTCCCCGCCAGATAGCCCTCGCGAGCTGCGGCAGATCTTCTTTAAGGCGGGCGTGCCCATGACGCCCAAGGAGTATCTGTGGCCTGACCCTATGGCTTCCGCGGCAGAAACACCTGGGAAACCACCTGAAGGACCACCTGAGGCGCCACGTGTGGCACCTCACGGCGATTCGTCCAACCGCCCCGCGTCGGAATCGTCTGCTAAAATCAAGGACCCGTGGAGATCGTCAGAGCATCATCCTGCCGTCGATTCGGCGGAATCGTCTGCTAAAATCAAGGACTCTATAGCGGCTCCGGAATCTGTTGCAAGTGCTGCTGGTGGTAAGGCCACGGACCCGACTGGTGACAGCCCCGATGCAAGAACACAGGAAGACAAGAGGTCCGAGGGGGAGGGAGGGGTTCTCTCGTCTAAAGCCCCCACTTCTAGCAAACGGAGGTATGGCAGTGGACTGATGCTTCCCCGGTCCTTGTTCAGGAGGAGAGGGCGGGATAGTCATTCGGGGAAGGAACGTGAGTTTGAGATCGAGTCGGGGAAAACTGTAGAGGAGCCTCAAACGGGGCGCGAGGTTGCGTCGCGGGAGGGGAGGGGGGTTGTTGGAGGGGCGACGGGTGAGGAAATCCGTGCCATTGATGTCGGCAAGCCGCTGACGGCCGTCGATCTTGGACTAGAGAAGAGAGGCGGAAGGGCGGCAGCGGGAGAGAAGAGGGCGGAGGGGGAGAGGATTAGCGCGGGAGAGAGGGGAGGGAAGGCGGAAGTGGAGGTGCAACCGCCAAGTGAAGTTGTGAGGAAGGAGGAGCGGGGCTTATCTGCTGAGAGTGAGGGGAGTGAGGAGAGTGAAGAGAGAGAGGAGGGAGAGGAGGGGGAGAAGAGTGAGGCAATCGCTACTAAGGGCAAAATCGTGGGAAGGGAGGGAGTCAAGGAAGGCGGAGGAAGTGGGGAATCAGGGAGGGAAGCAGGGGAAGGGCGGGGAGTGGTGCGAGGGCAGGAGGGGAGGGCTGGGATGGCTGGTAAGGCGGAGAGGGCGGAGAAGGCGGAAGGTTCGGCGGGAGTCATGACGCTGAGGCGCATGAAGGATGCGCTGAGGAGCGTGCTGTGGCCCCAGCGGGAGCAGCTGACACGTATTCGTGCACCAGGTGAGCTGGTAAGGCGGAGGTGGTGGAGAGGGCACAGAACGCGGAAGGCTCAACGGGATTGGTGACGCTGAGGCGCATGAAGGATGCGTTGAGGAGCGTGCTGTGGCCCCAGCGGGAGCAGCGGGAGAAGCAGACCGATGCGCGTGCATCCCCAGGTGAGCTTCAATCCCCTCCAGTGGACGCTACTCCTCTTCCGCCGCCGAACTGCGCTGTTGGTGTCTCAGCGACTCCTCTTTTGCTGGTCTCCTCGTTTTCTTACTCTTTCATGTCCCTTTTTGCCCATGCCATGCCCTCCTATCAGGCCCTCCAGTGGACGCGCCTCCCTCTCCTCTCAGCCGTGTGCCTCCCAAGCGCACTGCCAGCCTCCCCAGCGACACCCCGATGCTCGTTCCTCACTGGCTTCCTTTTCATGTCCATCCCCCCACATACCATGCGCTTTTTTCAGGCGCTCCAGTGGGCGCACCTCTTCCTCCTCCGCCGGGGCACGTGCCTCCCAAGCGCACTGCCAGCCTCCCCAGCGACACTCTGCTGCTGCACCACGAGCTGCCTGCTGTGCCTGTAACGGAGCAGCCTCTAACGGGGATGAGGGAGGCTGCAATGCTCTCCCACCCTCTCCCACATCCATCTGCTGCTTCTGCTGGTGATGCTGGTGCTGCTGATGCTGCTGCCACTGCTGCAGCACACAATCCGTTGAATCTAGCTCCAGGCCCCTTACCTTGCAGAAGTCACATTGACGCCTCCATTCGATACAAGCACATGGGGGAGGAAGCCCCTGTGGAGCATGAGCTGCATCGCCTTGGGATTGGATCCTTGAATGCTGATAAGGAGGCTGGAGAAGAAATTGGAGAAGCGGGAGGAAGAGGGAGAGGAGAAGGGACAGAAGCACAGAAAATTGAGGGGGAGAAGGAGGAGGAGGAGAGGCAGAGGAGGGAGAAGAGGCAGGAGGGTCTGAAGATGATTGCACCGGATTGGGGTGAGGTGGAGAGGCAGCCCGAGGCGAAGGCAAAGGGGGTTTTGATTTCAGGCCCAGCTCCTGTGGTGGGGAAGGGGAAGGGGGGAGTGGGGGGGGAGAGGGAGGAAAAGGGAAAGGGGAAGGGAGGGAAGGTGGGAGTGAAAGAGGGGGAGGGGGAAGGAGGTGTGGAGGAAGAGGCGGAGATACTCTTATCGCCGCCCAGGAGGATAGGTGGAGAGCGAGGGAAGGCGGGAGAGCTGCCACACAGCCCTCCACCTTCCCCAGTCTCACCTTCCCTTGTGTCACCTCCGCCGCTCTCACCACCCCAGCATGAGAGTTCTGCTGAGAGGAAAAGGCCTGCAAGGCCAAGGCTGAAACTCCCTTTCTTCTCCCCTCCTGCGCCAGCCGCTGTCTCTGCTGCTCCCAATGGTGGTGCTTCTGCCTCTACTGCCCGTACCCCCCCTCGCCTTGATCTCTCTGCTGCTCCTCCCTCCCCTGCTGCCGAAGCTGCTGAGAAGCTTCGGGAACGGGCGAGACGGATGGGACTAAGGCGTCAGCCGCAGTTTAAGACGAAGGGAGAGCAGAAAGGGGGGAAGACTGAGAGGAAGGAACAGGTGGAGGGAAGGGGGCGGAAGGAGAGGGAGGAGCAAGTTGAGGGGGTGTTTACTGCTGCGGAGAGGGAGGAAATGAGGGACACGCAAGGGAGCATTGAACAGGCAACCAAGGCACTCAAGGGGAGGTCATATAGTCTTGGAAGTCCGGGAAATCGTGGCGAAATGGGTAAGTCGGTTGAGCCGGTGGGTGTTGGCCCGGTTTTGAGTGGACGAGAGTTGAAGCAGATGGAAGGGACGCAGCAGATGGTGAAGTCTGCTTCTTGGAACCTGAAGTGGGATGCCGAGGAGTTTAAAGAAGAGTAGCGCGAACACGATGGCCTGCTGCTTTTCCTGTACATTGCATCTAATGTTCTGTTTTGCATTGGTGGCTCGTTCAATGTTGTACCACTTGTACAAATATAAATTCCGACATTTTGTATAAGCCTAGCTTCGTTGAACAGTGTATAGCCCTAGGCAAAGCCGTACGCGTTGTAACTCCAGTATCCCCAAAGAAACCCCACGTCCTCGCCGTGCCATTGCCCTTCGAGAATGTCAGCGTACCACGTGATTGGTGGTAACATATGAGCTGTTGCCCCACCATTGTTTTTTCGGAACTCGCCCGTAGCGAAAGTCAGCTTCAGATATTTTGCGATAGCGCTAAACTTCGCCGAGACGCCCCCTCTCAGATGCCGTACAATTTGTGGCCCCGCGTCGCGAAACTGACCGTTGAAAGACCCGCGAAAAGGGATCACGGACGGATTCAAGCGAAGCTCAAAATCAGAATTCACACAACTCGCAAGCAGTCCTCAGCACCGACATTGTTCATGTCCCCTAGAGAATTCGCCAGAATGCGTAACTTCAAGTGCACAAGTCTATTCGATGGCTTTTTTCTGATCACGTTAGGCGGCATGGGGATCAACAACAGGTTCTAAGAAGGGGTACAGGTACTGACAACATTCATAAGCCTAAAGAAGGAATTCAATGTTCGTCTCTTCCCACTTAGGCACGTCCTACTCCTTTCACGACATTCGTTCTAGCAAGAGCACCGGCGGTGCTTAGCTAAAGCATCGGAAAGTGCGTAGCGACAGCACCGTCGGAACGCTGTGAAACGTCAGCCGAATTAGTAGGTGACTACTGAGCCAAATATAAACGCTATCCAGAAAAAAAGCGTCGATTGATTGCTAACCTGGCAATCATATGTAAATAGCTGCTGATTCGACGTTCTACGCGACCAGCTGAAATAGGGCTTCCGGCACTTCCAGGTCCGAGTTGGCTGATAAGCGCCGATTTAAACGAGCTCGGCTGTCGGGTCAGGATTCAGCAGTCTGGTTTAGGAAAAGCAGAAGCGGAGGACGCTGCCTTCCATTAGAAGCCATGGCACATAAGCACATACGCCATGAGGAGGGGGCGCTTTTTACTGCTATTTCGGGATTGCCTGTTGCGCTCTTGAGCGGGTTATTGATGTCACTGCTGCTCCTTCTCGGCCAATCGGTTCCTGCTACGTGTCAGCAATGTAGAGTCGACCAAGGAAGGTCAGCCTCACTACGCACTCAACCTCATGAATGCAATTTATCAAATAAATAATGAAGAATTACCTCAGTAAATGAGAGAGAGAGAGAGAGAGAGAGAGAGAGAGAGAGAGAGAGAGAGAGAGAGAGAGAGAGAGAGAGAGAGAGAGAGAGAGAGAGAGAGAGAGAGAGAGAGAGAGAGAGAGAGAGAGAGAGAGAGAGAGAGAGAGAGAGAGATAGAGAGAGAGCACACACACACACACACACACACGCACGCACGCACTCAGACTCACACCTTTCCTCTCTCCTTTTTCTTCCTCCCTTTCTCCCTCCCTCCATCCCTCCCGCGCTCCCGATTCCCTAACTTTCTTTTTGCCGTGTCCTGCCAGATCCCCCTTCCCCTCCTCCTTCTTCCCCTCTCTACATTCGTTTCCTCGTTCCTTTGACTTCACCTGACACATGAATCAAACCTTCATCTGACTGTTCACCTGACCTCACCTTCGCACCTCCCTGCCCGCTCGTCTGCTAATCTCCGCAGCTGGGTGTACGACAGGGTGTACGAGCCTGCTTATAACGGGTTCACGTGCAAGAGTATCCGTTCGTATTACAACTGCCAGCGCAACGGGAGGAAGGACACCGGGTACCTGAAATACGTGTGGAGGAGCCCTGGCTGCGATATAAGAAGGTGAGGGTCGTCTAGGGTTCCACTGTGCTGCTTATAACGGGTATACGTGCAAGACCATTTGTGTGTATACGTTCAATTGCCAGCGCAACAGGAGGAAGGACACTGAGTACCTGAAATACGTGTGGAGGAGTCCTGGATGTGATATAAGAAGGTGACAATTGTCAAGGGGCTATATATTGAAAGGATACTGTGTTGCTGCCGGCAAGTAGTACTCTTGTCAGCGCAAATGGCAACAAGATTTCTGGTTATCCGAATCGTATACCTCGCTCCCACCATCTCCCGTCATATCTGCCCCTGTTCTTCCCCTCTTCCTCCGCCTCTGCAACGTCTTTCTCAGATTCAACCCCGTTAGAACGCTCTCCATTTTGCGCAATAAGGTGTTCATGTTTGTTGGCGACTCGTTCGTTAACAACCTCGAGATCTCCATGCGCTGCCTGCTAGAGACTAAAGCGGTTACTAAGGTATGTTCTGAGAGTGCTCGAACCACGCCCACTACGCCGGTTTGTCACGCCACCCAGCCCAAGCTCTCAGACCTTCTCCTTCCCCCTCTGGTGTATTGTATTCCTGTCCAGAATCCCCTTCTCCCTCCGTTCGCTGCGAGGTAAACAAGAGAGTTGTTCTCTTTTTAGACGTCTCAAAACATTACTTTTATCACGTAGCTAAAGAAGAGAGCTGCACTCCACTGCGAAAACCCTCCTTCGTCCAGAAAGGAGATGACACTTGTTGATCCTCTCCCAACCTCATAGAGTTGCAATTGGAGGCTCTTTTGAGTCGACTCAAAACAAGATAGACTTGGACGTGAAGGCTCTTGCATCTTATCGTCCTTCACAACTTGGAACGCGAGTTTGCTCTCCCGGAGCTTCTCATCCCTCTCACATCCCCCCTACCCCCATATCCACCCATCACTTCCCCTCTTCCCCTGCCATCACCATCATCTTCCGCCAGGACTTCAGGGGCAAGTTTGGACGCACGGGGATTCGAACTCGCGGCTTTATCATCCCCCAGTACAACATCTCTTTCCTCCGCATGCCCTCCAACTTCCTTGTCCGGTCCAGCCCTGTGGTGAGTGCTTCTGAATACGTCAAGCTAAGGCTCCTACCTGTGGTAACTACATCTTAGTGCTTAGCCTAGGGACTTTAATTTCATACAGTCGTGTAGAGGTTGCATTTGCGCAGGCCTATTTCGAGCATCATACCCACCATGCCTTGTTCCCGTGCCTTACCGCGTTCCTTACCCCTTTCCCAGTCAAGCTCCCTCCCTCCTTCTCTCTCACGTCCCTTCCCCCCGTTTCTTCCCCCCCTCTCCCCCAGGGCGTGGGCGTCCAGTGCAGGTGCATGGAGGGTGCATCTGGACAGGCCTGATCCGAGCTGCATACCCCCCAGGCCTGAAATCCATGCCTTACAACTTACTATCCCACATTCCCTTCTCTGTCATTCCCCCCCCCCCCCTAGGGCGTTGCGTCCAGTGCAGGCGCGTGGAGGGTGCACTTGGACAGGCCTGATCCGAGCTGGTTCAAGCTGCTGCCCCACACCCACTACGTTATCTTCAGCGCTGGTCACTGGTTTATCAACGTAAGGGGACTTCAGTGTGTTTGTACACCCACGTAGATGTATGTATATATATGTTTAGACATGTATATTGTTATATTCACTGCTGGTCACTGGGTTATGAACGTAAGCACGTCAATAACAGCTGCACTGTCTTTCTCCTTTTTTTCGTTACGGGTTAGGGTTATGTAGTGTGCATACAGAATGTCGATTTCTTATGGCGTTTTTTCCTTGTATGCCTTCTACACCCCCTGCCGTTGCCCTCCCTTTTCCAGGCGCCTTCAAATCTCCGACTCTACTACCGCAAAAACCAGCAACTCCCCCCGTTCCCACGCCCCTACGCTCCCCTCTACGACGCACACTTAACCATCCGAAAGTTCTTAGTTAACAGCCGGTACTCAGGGCTCCCCATGGTGATGACCTTCTCGGCTTATCACTATAACAACGCGTTCTCTAGCGGGGATGCAGCCAAGAGCTGCATGGACATGCGGGGGCAGGTGATGAACGGCACGAGGATGCTGTGGGCAGAGAGGAATACGGAGACACTGCAAGCAAGAGACGCACAAGTGAAGGTGCGTTTGGGCTGGGTGCCGAATTGGGGGGTGGGGAGGGGGGGGAGAGGAAGAATAATGTTGTGATGAATGGGACGAGGCTGCAAGCGAGAGATGCTCAAGTGAAGGTGCGTTTGGGCTGGGTGCAAGCACATACCCTCTTCTTTTCCTGCGTGAAATTGAGGGGGGGAGGTGATGGTCGGGACGCGGATGCTGTGGGCGGAGAGGAACACCCAAGACACTGCAAGCAAGAGATGCTCAATTGAAGGTGTGTATTGAATCTTTCTGTATGCCTCATGGTAATGGGGAAGTGGAGGGGGTGACGGGGGTGGATGAACGGGACAAGGATGATGTGGGCAGGAGGAGCACAGAGACACTTCAAGCACGAAATGCACAAGTGAAGGTTTGTATTGACTATTGAGTTGACTCAAAAATGTGGGCAGGAGGAGCACACACAGAGACACTTCTGATGCACGAGATGCACAAGTGAAGGTGTGCATTGAGCAAATACTTTGATGCACAGAGGATGATAATGTTTGCACCGAGATGCACAAGTGAAGGTGTGCATCGAGCAAACTTTCTGTACTCAAGGAGGGAAGTGGTGGAGGGGGGACGGGGAGTGAATGATGAGTGGGACGAGGATGACGAGGGTGGAGAGGAACACAGACACACTGCAAGCAAGGAATGCTGAAGTGAAGGTGCGCTTGGGCTGGGTGCTGAACAGAGGGGAGTGGGGGAAGAGGGTGGGAAAAGGAGAGCAAAATGCCTACTCATTCCTGTCCCCACTCCATCTCCTCCCCCACTTCTCGATCCCCACTTTGCTACGGTTGCTTCTTGCAAACATACATGCGTCTCCATCTCTCCCTCTCCTCTTACTCTCCCGTCAATTTCACCCTTCGCTCTCTCAAATCTCCCTAACCCTCCACCTACACTCCCGCAACCCTATTTCTCTGCCCTATCCCTTCGTTGCTGTTCTCTCCAGGCATTCAGCTCCTATCCACAATTCAAGATAGTGGACATTGCAAGGTCCTCCCTTGCCCGCCCAGACGCCCATCAAGGCCAATTCACAGGCAATGATCGCCCTGACTGCTCGCATTGGTGCGTGCCGGGTGTACCGGATTCATGGTCCGATTTAGTGTACTCTTACTTGGCTGGTGTTTTGAGGTGAAGTAATACCGTCATCGCCCGGATATAAGACATATATGTCTTATCTCGTACACGGGCAAAAATGCTTGAGTTATCTTGTAAACGGGATGGTTTAGGGTGTCTTATAAGTCTTATAAATGGAAAAAAGTTTAAGTTGACTGTAACACTTGCAAAGTGTGTAGAAAACATCCAGAGACCAGATTCATTGAAACAGGCCGACCTCGGTGGTGATGCATGCAGCGCCCACACTTGCCACGTGAGGGAGCTGCCACCGCTGGCAATATTCCTCTGTGCTGGCAGCATCATTAGATGCTGCCAGCATCGTTTTGCTGCCAGCAGCGCAGGGATGCTTCCAGAACGCTGCTGGCAGCACGTTGGCAGCATGAGGGCTGTCCTCTACGAGGAGATGCCTCGTAGAGGAGCGGCTCGGCACCTGTGGATGGGGCACTCTGGCTGGGGGGGGTAGTCGGCCTCTCACTTCATTCGGTGCTCAAGGGTTTAGGAATACTCGTCTCAACCTTGCTCTCGGCAGGCTTTCTAACCATGCGCAGCAAAGTACCCCCAGGCTCGTCCTCTCCTCGTCCTCACGTGCAGGTGAATAAATACGGGCGAATTAACTCGCCCGGCAATGACATCCGTGTAGCCATGGCGAAGAATGCGAGCAAGGCGGGAAGTCATACCGCGGTCTCCGGTGCGAGCTGTGACGGGGACGACGGAGAAGAAGCGAACGCCGACGACGCCGAGGAGGATTGGCCGGAGAACGGCCACGACGACAGCGCTTCGGGCGACGAATTAGGTCCTGCCGACATCGAGGAGGACGAATGGTGGAATCGGCCGGTCGGGAGCGACGACGAGGTGGAAGAGTGGCGGGCTGGAGATTCGGACAACGACGGAGGTGAAAATGTGAATGGTGACAACGCGGAGGCAGCGGCGGATGCACAGGAAGCGGCGATGGATGCGAATGAGGAGGCTAAAGACGGCGCGGCCGCAGTTGCGGATGCGGATGCTGTGGCAGAGTCGGACACGGTTGCTGCGGATGCCGTCTTATTTGACGGTGAAAGCGGCGACGACGACCCATGTAGCCTTGGGACAGACGACGACGTTCCGCTACTGAAGCGGAGGCTGCGCCATCGCCTACAGTCCAAGTCGAAGCGGGCCCGCGTGGTGCTCTCTGACGACGACAGTCCGGGGGAGGAGCGTCGCCCGAAACTCACCGCTGCGGAGAAGGGAAAAGCCAAGGTCGCGGAAGCCCCTGCTAAGGCCCCTGCTCGTCGCCGCACAAGCAACAAGAAGCGGATATCCGACGGAGACCCGGGATCTAGCAAGGGTGCGGCTAAGAAGAAGGCGCCGAATCCTGACGACATCGTCGTGAACGAGACTCTGGGCAGCGACGATGAGTACGCGGCGGCTGCGGGCCCGATTCCCACGTTCCCTGAGAAGGTCACGCCGAAGGACCCCACCCTCCATAATCCCAACACCCGCCCACCTTCCCCTCGCAGCAAGGACACTACGAGAAAGCACCGCAGCTGGACCGTGCGTGAGAAGGTTAAGTGGGCGCGCCGCTATCTCGAGCTCGGCTCCTTGAAGAAGACGAGTGTGGAGTCAACCGCGTCCATCGCCTGCATCAGACGCTGGAGTGCGAAGGCGGCTGCGGGCGTCCACAAGGGCGCGGCTAACTGCCGCAAGCGGATGCACGGGGGGGGGGGGGCGCCACTCACACTACCCCGACATGGAGGCAGCGTTGTACCGCTACATCTGCCTTCAGCGCGCTAACGGGGTGGCCATCTCGGTGAAGGACACCCAGAAGTGGAGCCGCGAGTGGATGAAGAAGCATCACGCCAGCAAGAACAGGAACGCGAGCTCTCACTGGAGCCAGCGTTTCCGTGACCGCTGGAACCTGGTGATGCGGGTGAAGACCAAGGTCGGCCAACGACTGTCGGCAGGTGCGTGTTGAAGGAATTCGTGTCGCGTGCGGGCTATTGAATGCATGTCCCTCACCCAGTGTCTAACCATCCCATGTTTCCGTTGCGCGTGTACCGTTTGCAGAGTGCACGAAGTGTCAAACATTATATATGTTGTTGTAGTTGTTTAGGCTACAGTGGGTTAGCCTATAGGGGGTACACATTCCTAGTTTTTCACACTTGTACTCATTTCACTCTTAGTTCATTCATTCTTGTTCAACATGGTATAGAGCAGGTCCTTCCTAGGACCGATTTTTTAGGGCCCACCACTACCTACCTACCTACCTGCGCCCTAGGGCGCCTCGGCTTTCACGCCCCTAGAGGCCCCGTCGGCCCCGCGCTCTCGCACCTAGAGGCCTCGGTCGGCCCCGCGCTCGCTATTAGAGGCCCCGAATCGGCCCCGCGCTTACCCCTAGAGGCCCGTGTCGGCCCCGCGCTCGTCCTTACCGGCCCCGATCGGCCCCGCGCTCGTCCCTCACGGCCACGTCGGCCCCGCGCTCGTCCCTTACGGCCCCGATCGGCCCCGCGCTCGTCCCTCACGGCCCCGATAGGCCCCGCGCTCGCCCTTAGCACCCACGTCGGCCCTGCGCTCGTCCCTCACGGCCCCACCCGCTCCCCGCGCTCGCCCTTAGCGGCCCCAAACGGCCCCACCCAGACCGAGCAGCCCGAACCGAGCCGACCCGAGCCGCCCAGCCCTAACGGAACCGAGCCGCCCGACCCGAGCCGCCAGCCCTAACCGACCCGAGCCGCCTGAACCGAGCCGCGCCGCCCGACCCGAGCCGCCCGAACCGAGCCGCGCCGCCCGACCTGAGCCGCGCCGCCCTACCTATACCGAGCCGCGCCGCCCTACCTGTACCGAGCCGCGCCGCCCTACCTACCCTACTGCTCCTACTTCTTTTCCTACTGCTGCTACCATGGCTAGCCCACCTGTCCTAGCCTTCGATACTGAGGGCCGCCCAGTGAAGTTCGACACCTGGCTTGATGACCTACACCTCTTCCTACAGCTCACCGTCAAGGAAGACATCTCGCTGTACGATCATGCCTTAGGCCACGCTACTGCTCCTGCTGCTACTGCTGACAGCACTGCCCGCTCACAGTGGCAGACTCGTGACGCCCATACTCGCTTCGCTATTCGCAACTCTCTGCCGATAGATGAGCGCGAGCACTTAGGGCAGCACAAGACTGCACAGGCACTGTACACTGCTATCGTTGCCCGCTACTCCTCGCCGGCCTCTGCCGCTCTAGGCCGTCTCTCTCTTCCCTACCTGTTCCCCGACCTAGCTTCCTTCCACACTGTCGCTGATCTCATTACCCACCTCCGCACTAGTGAGGCTCGCTTCCGCGCCGTTATGCCTCATCAGTTCCTTGCCAAGAACCCACCCCCGCTCTGGCTCACTCTCTACCACCTAGTCACGCGCCTCCCTGACACTCTGCGCTCAGTCAGGGACCACTTCCTAGCTTGCTGCCCCACCGAGCTCACCATTGCCCTCCTCGAGAAGGAACTGCTTGCAGCTGAGGCTAGCATAGTCGCTGTAGGTGCCTCTCGCGGTGACCCCCGTACCCCGTTCTTTGAGGGGTGTTCTCCCTCCCCCCTTCTTCCCTCTGTCGCCTCTGCTGCTGCTGTCAACCTCCTTGGTGCTGAGAAGGTCGGGACTGCGTCTGCTTTGAGTGGGCGCCGCAGCGGCAAGGGCAAGGGGGGCAAGGGCGGTGGTGGTGAAAGCGGGGGTGGCGGTGGTGGGGGAGGTGGTGGTGGCGGGGGGGGTGGCGCGGGTGGGGGAGGTGGCAGCAGTGGGGGGGGTGGCGGCAGCGGCGGGGGAGGTGGCCGGGGCGGAGGAGGTGGTGGGGGTGGCGGTGGACGAGGCAGCGGCCGGGGTTGGGGTGGTCGAGGAGGTGGTAGCGGCGGTGGTGGTCGTGGAGGCACTAGCGGTGGCCAGGGCCAGCAGCACACTCCGTCGCCCCAGGAGGACCGTGAGTGGTACTCTCAGCACGGGGGGGGGGGGGTGGCCTTAGCTGCACGTACGTCATTCGCACTGGTGACCGCACTGGCCAGCCGTGTGGGGGACCGCACGCCACACAGCGTTGCTTCGCTCGTCTGAACGACGCTTGGCGTGTTCAGTTCCCTCAGGCCAGTGAGCTGCCCCGCTGGGTTGATCTCCTGAAGAAGGGGATTGATATTTATGCTCTAGACTTTGATGCTATTCTCACTGCCATGTATGTGATGTCTACGAGTGGAGAGGGTGCTGAGTACCTGAGTGTCCCGCCCGACCCGGGCATTAGGACTAGTGCGTCTGCCACTCCAGGTACTCGCGTGTCCGCTACCCCAGGTGCTGGTGAGGCTGCTGCGCTAGGTGCGTGTACGTCTGCCCCCCCTAGTACTGTGTCGACTGCAGCACTGCACACCTTCACACTGGATTCAGGTGCCTCTCGCTGTTTCTTTCGTGACCGCACTGCCCTTGAGCCCCTTGCTCGGCCAGTTGCTGTCTCCCTCGCTGACCCCTCTGGGGGTCCGGTCCTTGCGACCTCCTCCACTGTCCTTCCCTGTCCTGCGGTCCCGTCGGGCACACTGTCAGGTCTCCACCTCCCCTCGTTCTCTACGAACTTGGTGGCAGGTTGTGCACTACAGGACGCGGGTGTTCACCAGTTCACCCCTGCCTACGAGCGTGTCACACACTGCACGTGTGCCCGTACAGGCCGCCACTTGGCTACCTTCACCCGGCAGCCGGGGTCGGATCTGTACACACTGACTACTGCCCCCCCTCAGGTAGCTGCGTCTGCGTCCGCGTCAGGTCAGCTGTCCGCCCCCTGCTCGTGTCGCTCTCTAGCGCACGAGACTGTCCTCTGGCACCACCGACTGGGCCACCCGTCTGTGCAGCGCCTTCGTGCCATGCACTCCCGGTACCTTGTCTCTGGTCTTCCCAGGGTCCTCCCTCCCCTCCCACCCTCACCTGCTCCTCCCTGTCTTCCCTGTGTCGAGGGGCGGCAGCGCGCCGCTCCTCACTCCTCCTCGTTTCCCCCGACGACTGCTCCTTTGCAGACGCTCCACATGGACGTGTGGGGCCCAGCCCGCGTCCGTGGTCAGGGTCAGGAGAGGTACTTCCTGATCGTTGTTGACGACTACTCGCGCTACACCACGGTCTTCCCCTTGCGAGCCAAGGGTGAGGTCCCTGATGTTTTGATCCCTTGGATCCGCAGAGCTCGTCTCCAGCTCAGCGAGCGTTTCCGCTCGGACTTTCCCGTCCTGCGCTTGCACTCTGAGAGAGGTGGTGAGTTCTCCTCCGACCTCTTGGCAGCCTACTGTGCTGAGCACGGCATTGAGCAGTCGTTCACGCTTCTGGCCTCTCCACAGCAGAATGGGGTTGCGGAGCGCCGCATTGGCCTGGTCATGGAGGTCGCTCGTACCTCCTTGATCCATGCGGCTGCCCCCCACTTTCTGTGGCCGTTTGCGGTCCGGTATGCTGCGCATCAGCTCAACCTCTCGCCCCGTGTCTCCTTGCCGGAGACCTAGCCCACACTGCTGTGGACAGGGGAGGTTGGCGATGCGTCGCGTTTCCGGGTCTGGGGATCTCGAGCTTTTGTCCGCGATTCGTCTGCGGACAAGCTCTCCTCTTGTGCTGTTCCCTGCGTCTTCCTCGGCTTTGTTCCGGACGCGCCTGGTTGGCAGTTTTACCACGCCACCTCGCGCCGGGTCTTGCCCTCTCAGGACGTCACTTTTGACGAGTCTGTCCCCTACTACCGCCTCTTTCCCTACCGCACTGCCTCGCTCCCACCCCCGCCTCTCTTCCTCACGCCAGGTGCTGCTGTCGTAGACCCCCTCCCCCCTCAGGGTGCCGCTCCCTCAGGTGTGTCTCAGGTAGACCCGGTCGAGCCTGTTGAGGTTGCTGTCGACTCTCGTCCTGCTGGGGGTGCTGAGCCTGGGGGTGCGGAGACTGGGGGTGCTGAGCCTGGGGGTGCTGATTCTGGGGGTGCTGAGCCTGGGGGTGCTGACTCTGGGGGTGCTGAGCCTGGGGGTGCGGACTCTGGGGGTGCTGAGCCTGGGGGTGCGGACACTGGGGGTACTGAGCCTGGGGGTGCTGAGCCTGGGGGTGCGGTGACTGGGGCGGCTGAGCCTTGCGGTGCTGGGCCTGAGGGTGCTACACCTGGACGCGACCTCTCCTCTGAGCAGTTGCGTGAGTGGTACTTACAGTACTGCAGCCTCCGGAGTGTTACCTCTGGGACCAGGCCCACTACAGGGACTGGGGCTGGTACTTCTCCTCCTAGTCGGGAGCTCCCCTCTCGTGAGCGGATCCGTGAGTGGTACGAGCGCCGTTGCACACTTCGGAGTGGTGCGCCTCGTCTCACGGACCCGGCTGCCCCTGGTGCTACGGACCCGGGCGTTGGAGCTGCTGCTGGTGCTGCGGTCCTGGCGTTGGAGCTGCTGCTGGTGCTGCGGACCCTGGCGTTGGAGCTGCTGCTGGTGCTGCGGACCCGAGGGTTGGAGGTGCTGCTGGTGCAGAGGACCCGGGCGTTGGGGCTGCGGCTGGTGCTGCGGACCCTGGCGTTGAAGCTGCGGCTGGTGCTGTGGACCCTGGTGTCGGAGTCCCTGCTGGTGCTGAGGACCCGGGCGTTGGAGCTGCGGCAGGTGCTGTGGACCCTGGTGTTGGAGCCACTCCTGGTGCTGAAGACTCGGGCGTTGGTGCTGAGGCTAGTACTGAGGACCTGGGCGTTGGAGCTGCTGCTGGTTCTGGTACTGCCGCTGGGGGTGCAGGTGCTGTCCCTGCTGTGTCTGGAGTCGCCGCGCGCCCTCAGCCGTACTTCGTTCCGCTCCTTCAGCAG